TATTCTATCCATGTGCAACACAAACAGGGGAACAGAGAGGTGACAGTCTTGGCGGAGACCAGTGCCAACTCTGAACGATCTCAGCGTAAGATCATTTACTCTACCGCAGCACTGCCAAGAGTGACTGAACGGCATGAGTCCTATATAATTTTTAGGCACGCGCAGAGCTTGTTGTGTAGGACTCGGTCAACAAACCACCCGTTAGCCGAATTAGGGAATTACCTTTCTAACACCTTTGCATCAACTCTACCCGATAGGCTCAATAAGGTAATGCACCGATGATTCGAGCAATTCGCATGATCTCCTTTCTTGACGACGGTGCTACAACCCCCTCCCCCACCCTCCGGCGGACTCCAATGCACTGGTGACCTCCCCGTAGTCGATGCAGTTTCACAGACACCTGATAGCCACAGCTGCCTTACTCGCTTAAAGCTTTAGGCATTTCAGAACGAATTTCATGGTTTCCCGCAACGTTGCCCTTTTTCAAACCTTTTACAGATTCTGTGACTTCCAAAAAGACTAGTATTTTTTTCTTCTGCCTTTCAGGAGTCTTGCTGCGGTTGCTCAAGGTTACAGAGTTCCTCAAAGAACTCTCTCCATTGCCAAAGTAAGTCGATACCATTAATAAGAGAGCGCCTGGACTTTCACTTCAGGACTCTCAGACTGCCCTTCTTTCCAGTTCGGAAACGGTCGTCAGTCTGCCACAGTACCTGGACATCTGGAAATTTGACGCCAGCATCCCATGTTACTTTACCCAAGAATCAGCTTTTGCTATCGCCTTGCGCTCTTCTTGATACTGTATTCGAGTTGAAGGTTCTTTGCTTCTTAGCGGTCTGTTGAATGTAACCTTCATTTCGCTGACAAACAGTGGAACCTCGCAGAAAGATTGTTTTTGACTTCAAGGAGGTAGACAAACTCGATATAAACCAGAACATTTTTTGGAAGGCGAAAGAATGTCGCTCCGAAAGAGTTTGCATCCGGTTTTACAATCAGCGGTCACCACCCGGATCTGCTCAAACTGTTGTGCAACGTTGTTTTCAAGTTTTACCCTTATATCAGCAGTAGAAAGTGTTTGATGTTTGATTCCATTGCCGTTTACGCCCCATTTATGGTTGAATGATACTCGGTTGTTTCTTCCTCTGTTCAGAACTGGCAGCGGCTCCGTAGCTGACTTGTATCTTTGTCGCTTTTTTGTAGATTTTTTCAGCAGTCCCCCCCAAATGCCAAAAGGACAGAAGCAAGTTCTCGTCACCTACTTCTCGCAGTCTGCCTCAGTTCCCAAGAGTCTGAGTGGCTTATGGCAGCCCGGGCGACTACTGAGCTAGTAAAACTTTCGATAACGAAAATATCATGAGGGGCAGCAGGTGGTCGAAGCTTACGGGAGCCCTA